AGCATATTGTAACCCTATTTTATTGCCAGTAAAGAAGCTCTAATCCCCCCGTGGACGTAGGCATGTTGTCGAACCACGTATATCTTTGTGTTGTGGTTGGTTGTCTCTTTCTTTTGTGTTTGTTTTTTCTTTCTTATTTTTGTGGATTGCTTTTCGTTTCTACAAATTGGTATCAGAGCCTACAAAGTTATTCTGCATTCTTGGGTTTGCTACCACAATGATAGGAAAGGGCTCAAGCGTCAAGTATGACATTGAGAGGTTCAATGGAAAGAACAATTTCACCCTTTGGAGATAAAGGATCTTTTGATACAACAAGATCTGGCTAAGGCTTTTCTAGGGATTTGAAGAAACAAACAAAGATGGACGATGAAGAGTGGTAAGAGATGGAGGAAAAGGCAGTAAGTGCGATTCGTCTGAATCTCTCAGATGACGCCTTGCTTTATGTGGTGGATCTCAAAATTTCTCTTGAGGTTTGGACAAAACTTGAGAGTATCTACATGACGAAATCTCTGACGAACAAGTTGTTCTTGAAGAAGCAGTTGTATTCTCTTCAGATGGAAGAAGGCACAGATCTACTTGAACATCTCAGCGAGTTCAACCAGATCATAAGTCAGTTAGCAAGCTTTGAGGTCACAATCGATGATGAAGACAAGGCCCTACATCAGTTGGCTTCGCTTTCAGGATCATACGGTCACCTGGTTACGACTCTACTTTAAGGGAAGGAGACTCTTGAGACGGACAAGGTCACTGCGACTTTTATGTCAAACGAGACAAGGAAGAAGATTAGTAGTATTAAATCTCAAGGAAATGTTTTTTTGGAAAACACAAAGAGAGTCATGAAAGGGGTAGATTAAATCAAATAAGGTCTGAAAGAAGAAGTCGGTCAAAATCGAAGGGAAAAGACAAGTTTATTTGCTATTACTGCAAAAAAGAAGGTCATATGAAGAGAGACTGCCCGAAAAGAAAGGAGGATATAAAGAGGATAGAAACAGGAAAACTATCTGATGAAGCTAACGTGGCCGATAGCTCTGACGGAGATGATAGAGATCTTCTCTCTATATCTTCAGGTAAGAATCAATTTACTGATTCTTGGATTTTAGATTCTGGTTGTTCTTTTCATATGTGTCCAAATTGAAACTGGTTCGAAACCTACAAATCATATAATGGTGGGTCTGTTCTAATGGAGATTTATGCGGTATGCAAAACCATTGAAATATGAACTATCAAAATCAAGATGTTTGATGGGATAGTTACGAATCTTATCAAATGTGAAGCATATCCTGCAATTAAAGAAAAACTTAATATCTCTAAGGGCTCTTGATTTGAATTGGTGCAAGTATACAACAACAGGTAGCGTCCTCAAAGTTAGTAAGGGATCTATGGTTGTCATGTAAGGTCAGATGACTTGAACCTATACAAGTTGATAGGGAATACAGTTACAGGTGGAGCTTCTATAACCACAGATATAGAGTCCATCATAAATGATACAAAATTGTGGTATATGCGTTGAGGGCATATGAATGAACGAGGTATGATGGAACTTCATAAAAGGAAATTGTTGAAGGGTATAAGAGCTTGTAAACTAGATTTATTTAAGTACTGTGTTTTCGGTATACAATACAATATTAGTGCAGTTCATAAGAGCAAGGATATACTAGACTATGTACACACTGATGAATGGGGGCTTCACCAATCAAATCCAAGGGTGGGGCAGAATACTTCATTACTTTCATTGACGATTACTCAAGAAAGGTCTGGGTCTACTTCATGAAACACAAAAGTGAAGCATTCACGAAGTTTAAACAATGAAAAACAAAGGTAGTAAGGAAGACAGGAAAGAAACTGAAATGCTTGAGATTAGATAATGGAGGGGAGTACAAGTCTAGAGAATTTCAAGAATTCTGTAAAGAATAGGGGATTGTACGTCACTTTACCACATCAAAAACTCATCAGCAAAATGGTGTGGCTCAGAGGATGAACGAGACTCTTTTGGAAAGAGCTCGTAGTATGCGATTGAATGCAGATTTGAAGAAAAGTTTCTGGGTAGAAGTAGTTAACATGACTTGTTTCATCGTTAATAGGTCACCATCTACAACGATTGATTGCAAAATTCTAAAGGAGATGTGGACATGAAAGCCGTTAGATTACTCTATGCAGAGGATCTTCGGATGTCCAGCCTGTGTCCACGTGCAAAGTGGGAAACGTTCCAAATTAGACTCTAAGTCTAAGCAATGTATCTTTCTCGGTTTTAAGAAGGGAGTGAAGGGATACAAGCTTTGGGATCCTACTTCACATAAGGTTGTACTTAACAGGGATGTTGTGTTTGATAAATCTCACATGGTGAAGTCAATCAACATGGAAGATGACAAAGTGCAAGTAGATGAAAGTGATGGAGAAAGATAGATAGTCCAGGTGGAACTAAAAGAGTCTGAAACACTAGAAGAGGAAAAATTAACTAGTAGCATATCAGAACAACATCAATCATATAGTGAACCCTACAGTTTGGCAAAAGGCAGAAAGAAGCGTGTTCACAAAGCCCCTGTGAGATATGGCTTTGAGGACATGATAGCCTTTGCTCTAACTGTTTGTACTAGAGAAATCGACTCTTTCGAAGATGCTTTAAGTGATGCACGGAGTGATAAATGGAAGACAACCATAATGGAGGAGATGAAGTCTCTGAAAAAGAACAATACTTGGGAGCTTGTCAAGAGACCCAAGGGAAGGAAAGTGATTGGGTGCAAGTGGATCTTTTGAAAGAAAGAGGCAGCAACAAAAAAGGAATGTGAGAGATTCAAGGTTAGGCTCGTAGCAAAGGGCTACACGCAGAAGGAAGAAGCGGGCTACAATGAAATATTTTGTCCAGTTGTCAAGCACACTTCGATAAGGCTATTACTTTCTTTAGTTACCATGTTTGATTTAGAGCTAGAACAGCTTGACGTGAAGACAATGTTTCTTCATGGTGATTTGGAGGAACAAATCTTTATGGAGCAACCTGAAGGATTAAAAGTGTATGGAAAGGAAGATCAAGTTTACTTGCTCAAGAGATTGCTTTATGGTCTTAAGCAATCTTCCAGACAGTCGTACAAGCACTTCGACTCTTTCATGGGGCGGATTGGTTATTCAAGAAGTGAGTATGATTGTTATGTTTATTTTAAAGTTCTTGATGATAATTTCCTTATTCTCTTGATGCTTTATGATGATGACATGCTCATCGCTGCCAATAATGCATGTGACATAACTTCTCGCAAGTCTATATTAAGTTTTGAGTTTGATATGAAAGATCTAGGCGCTGCTAATAGGATCCTTGATATGGAGATTCATAGAGATAGAAGTACAAGTAAACTCTATGTAACTCAAAAAAGGTGTGTTGAAAAGGTGTTAGAGCTTTTCAAAATGGAAAAAGCCAAGTTAGTTAGCACTCCATTGACGAGTCATTTCAAGTTATCTAAACGGCAGTGTCCCACTACGGATGAGGAGATAAAATAGATGTTTCTAGTGCCTTATGCTAGCGCAGTCAGAAGCCTCATATATGCTATGGTTTGTAGCAGGCCGGATTTATCTCATGCTATCAGTGTTGTTGGTCGACACATGAGTAATCTTGGAAGGGAGCATTGGAATGCTATTAAGTGGATTCTCAAATATCTAAGCGGGACGTCAGATCTCGAAATTATGTTCAGCATGAAGAGAAGCTCTACAGAACTGGTGGGATATGTTGATTCCGACTATGCTGATGATTTAGACAAGCGAAGGTCTACTACATGGTATGTCTTCACACTAGCAGGTGGACCTAAGGCAATGTTTCAACCCACGATTACCTTGTCTACGACAGAGGGAGAGTACATGACAGCAGTTGAGGCTGCAAAGGAAGCGATCCGGTCGACTGGTTTGGATCATGAGTTGGGGGTGGAAGAAGAAGGTATTGTACTGCATTTGTGATAGTCAGAGTGCTACAAATTTTGCAAAAAATCAAGTGTTTCATGTAAGGAAAAAACACATTGATGTGAGATCTCACAAGTTCAAGGAGCTTGTGTGACGACCTTAAATGTTTTTTAAAAAAAAACTGAAAACTAATAATAATAGTGTTAATAGAATAAATACAATAAAACTAAATAAATAAATGAAATAAAATAAAGTACATAATGAAATATATATAACGATAATTCATGATGACAAAATGCACCATAAGGGCCATCTTTTCTCTAACGTAAAATTACCCCTCAATTTAAATATGGACCCCCCACGTTTCTTGGATATTTGATTAATAATTCAAAGCTACTGTTTTCTCAAAAAAATTTATGCTAGTCCATTTCTTTAAGGTGCACTTTTGGTCCATCAGCTCTTTTACCATAATTGAATGTAAAGCTTCTAAAATATTCCTTGTTGCAATCTTGTTGGGCATGGTGAGGCTAACGTGCCTCCATAAGATGTTGCATTAATTGTCATATTGTGTGGTGGCATTACCATATGTCTCAGTTAATCCTCTATTGATACATTTTAATTGATGTGGCACGCTTTGCGTCATGCATCGATGCTTTATAAAGAAGTTTTCTTTTGATATAAGGAGTGTCATTGAAAAGTCCTTATCTGGCACTGTACTCTCTCTCTCTCTTTTTAATCTTCTCTCTCTCTAAGTTATCATTTTGTTTTCACTGTACTCTCTCTCTCTCTTTAACCTATTTCTTCCATCTAGTATGTTCTCTCTTTAAAATTGTTCCTTCTACCTACCCATTATCCCCTGCCATGGCTGAAATGTTCGGGTTTTCCATTGAAAACCTCGTAAGTCACCAGCCTCCTCTATATGTTCAAGATTTCTTGAGATAGCCTAATTATCTCTCATATGCGATAAACAGTTGAAAACCTCATGTGCTACTACCCATGCCATTCTTTCGAATCCAAGCTTTACTTCCTCTCAAGATCTTATTCATGGTGCTCTCACCGTCGAATTTTATCGAAGTTCCCTCTCAAATAGTATAGGTAAGTGATCGCATTCTTCTGAAAAATAGTCAGTTTTTAATAAATAGTGATATTTCCGTTCAACATCTTTATTTTATAAGCTTTGTGTATAAGTGACCTCATTGTTTTGAAAAATAGTCTTTTTAGTAAAATTGTGATATTTTATCTATTGTTAGGAATTTTAAATATTGTAAATTATTAGAAATAAAGATGATATTTTTGCTTTTAGTAAAATTATGCGATTTCCTTCTATTGTTTTTCAATATTTAAACATTGTAAAATTCATATGCAAATGACTGCCTCATTATATAAAAAATTAAATTTCAAGAATGTCCTTCAGAACTGTTACCTTTTAGAAATTATTGCACAAAATGTTTAAATGGCCACTTAGAGATATTTCAATGGAAGTATTGTTATTAAATTGCTTCAAGTGAATTTATGTTAATGTTTTCAATGATCCTTCGCAGATATGATATTGTTGCTTTCTGATGTTTAAAGAGTTTCAAAGATAATTTGAGTATAAGTGGACTTGCAGTGATCGTTAGGACTTATTAGGTTATGTCGGTAGATACTATTTGGACTCATCTCGGGCGCCAGTGATGTATGATCAGACCTGCAATGGTTGTTAGGACCTATTCGGTTACGCCGGTAGGGACTATTTGGACTCATCCGGGATGCCAGCGAGGTATGTTTGGACCTGCAGGGATTGTTTTGACCTATCCAGTAGGGGCTATTTGGACTCATCCGGTACGCTGGTGATGTATGTTTGGACCTGCAAGGGTTGTTTGGACCCATCAAGATGCTAGTGGGGTATATAGGTGACCTACTTGGGATGCTAGTAGGGTATTTTATGGAATCCTTTGAATTATGCATCTCTGTTAAAATGTTTATATGCATTTCCATCATTTGGATTATGTTTAACTGTGGATTTGTGAAAGTGCAATTGTTTGTTATCTATAAATGCTTTTGCTCGAAATTCTTCCTCATGTTGTTTTTCTTTGCATACATTCTTCAGAAAATGTTTATATCTTCGAACCATGATTATTTTTAGGACCATGATGATCACTTACTGAGTAGCCCAACTTACAAAACTATGGTAAATATTTTTCAGGGTAATTGCAGTCTCATAGCTAAATGCACATCAGGACCAGCTTGTGAAGAAGATGCAATCATGTCATAACTAAATTCTCCTTTGTAACTTTTGTTTAACTTCACTACTGTAAATTTTTTGTTCTATCAACAGATGTATACCGAGCCTTCATGTTAATACCAGTTGTGAGTAAACTTTGTACAAATTGTAACGATTTTGATTCAGATTTTGAGAAAAGTCTGATTCAGATTTTGTGAAAAGTGGCAAAACTGCCACATGTAACCTAAAAAGTAATGGATTGGTGACCTCGTTTGTACATCTGGAAAACTATTTTGGATTGGCGGATCGATGTTCAAGATGAATGAATCGGCCAGATCAGCCGTATCCAGCTTTAAAAAAATATAAAAACATCACTAAAATTTCTTGAAAATCTAAAGTTTATAGTTTTCCAAAAAAACAAAAAAAAAGTATTACATTACAGGTTTTCATTATTTTAACAAAAATACATAAATACTAAGAACACGTCCCATGTTAGAATGTTATCCCTTACATAATGTTTATCCATTACACTCATTCTACAATCTATAATGCCACTTACATTTGTAAATAGGTCTTACATACTCATTTCTTATTTTCTCTTTTTCTTGAAAATTGATTTATTGAAATAATTATTAATTTTAATTCTGATTTTTTTTAATACAATCTCAAGAAATGAAGACGGGATATTGGATTGAAATAACCAACAATTTGATGCAAGTAAAATTAAATAAAAACAAGCATAACATAAAAGAAATATTGGATTGGTTAATGATTTGCAAATTTATTGTGGGGATCGCAAAATTGTTTCACCAATCCAATTATACTTTAAGCTTTTTTATGTTTTTCCTTATTTATCAAAAGATCTTTGTTTTCCCTGAAAAAAACGGATTGTGTCCCCTCTTCTGTTTCTCTCTAAAATTTTACCATTTTTTTTTTTGTCAAAAGGGGTAAATTTATTAATCCTTGGTAGCGTATGAATTATTGAAAGAAAGTTTGGTGAGGGGACCATCTATTTGTCCTTCATTGTTAAGATCATCGTTGATTGCAGGTCGAAACTGCGAAGCAATTACGCTCTGTTTGTGGGGGCGCTTGGTAAAAAGTTTCAAAACAAAAAAATTATTTTGAAGGAAAAAGTTTATGTAAGGTGTAAACTGTAGAAGCACCTAAAAATCCTATTGAAAGATGATGTCTCATCAATAGAAAATTCTCAAATTGATTGTCATGATCTTGATATACATGAATATGAAAGAAAAATTGAATCTCAAGTCTTAAAAATAATGCATCTTATAACACATTATCTAGACTATCCATTTTCAAGATTTTCGAATGCTTATAGATCTACTAAATTTACACCATTTTCAGAGCTTTCAATTTCATTATAGGGGTGAAAAATAGACTTTTAGGCCATAATAAGAGTTTTGGAATTGAAAATACATCTTCTAATGAGATTTTGAGGTGCACCATATCGTGATTGTCTAATGAGACCATTTACCTCTGATACAAGGTGGTTGCAATTAATCGTGACCATTGGATGTGAAATTGGGTGGCTATATATATTTCATTGACTAAGCTCAAAGTTCAAAAGATTTTCTCGAACTTTATGACACACTTAGATATCAAATTTCACATCGGATGGTTATAAGTAATTGTGATCTCCCTGTAGCCAAAGTAAATAGTCTCATTGTAGACAATCTCCCTTAAGAGGCACACCTATCCTAGAATTTCTATAGTATTAGGTCCCTTTATTTTCTTGTGACATGTGTCCTCTCTTAACCGTGGCTTAATATTGTAGGATAAGTATACCAAATTTTTCTTATGGCTTTGATGTCCCTAATATATAAATAAGGGAAAATATCTCCATATCTCCTATTTTTAGATTTTATTTTTTGATAAACTCAAGGTTTCAAAAGATATCTTCTAACCCCTTGCCACTTTACCTATTTTTTAATCTAAACAAATGTGAGAAAGACATAATCTTTCTAAACCCAATCATCTCTCTCTTCACTTATACACCCCAAATTTCTGTCTTTCTCTCTCTTCATGCTTCTCTTATTATCTCTCTCCACCCATATTTTTCCAAACACCTCCCTCTCTCTCTCTCTTTCGGGTAACCTCTCACCTCCATGAAGCCCGTCTCTCTCTATAAAAATTTGGGAGGATGGCTTTTAGAAAAGGCTCGTCTTTTTAGATTTGTTTGACCTAAAAAAAAAGGTTTAAATTAGCTCTGAGGATTAGAAGAAATAAAATCTACAATTTTTATTCTTTAAGATATCTTTTAAAACCTTGAAGCTATTGTGAAATGAAACCCAAAAATTAAAAGTATGAAGATATTTTCCGTTTAACTAAATCCGAATCCATTTATAACAGTTGCATTTTTTTCACGAACGTAAAATTGAGTGAGTTAAAGATGTTTACAATGGTTGCTTTTGAAGAAGCATTCGCTAATATTATCCTTACTTTAGTACATTATTAAATTTTCTAAATTTTTTCTCTACACGTACAAATTGTTGCCAATGGTATGTATAACGACACGGCCTTTATGGTACCCTTTTACATGCCCTGGTGTTTTATTATTGAAAAGGTTTTCTTGGTCTAAAGGTAATATGAAAAGATTACCTAGGAGATCTAGAATATGTGAATAAGATCCTTTCACTTAAATACCTCCTCAACTATGCTCAAAATGTGCCAATTTATTGTTTGGAATCTTCAACTAGCAGTGTTATTTTAGAAATTTCTCTCATAATACATCTATTTTATTGAGAAAATATCCCACTTGTTCATGATTCCAAACCCTAAGCATGCGATTTTTTTGAGAAAAACACATGTTCTTAGTTTGGATCACGAAACAATTTGAGATAATTTTATCATTTAGGTCAGAGTACCTAAATCAAGTGAAATGATATAAATCATCTTTTACATGGGTAGGAAACTTGAACACAATGGTATTTATGCCATCGGACTTGGGCCATCTAAAAACGATAAATTACTCAATACATCCACCTTGTACAGGATTCTATATATTGAAGTACATCTTTTCAAAGAAAATAAAAGAGGGAAGGCCTTGCGTTAAATGGTCTTTTTAAAGTAATAATTTAGTTGAATCGATAACTGCATTGGTTTTCTAAGCTAAGCTTAACATTTTACTCTGTTTTTAGAGTGATTTATGTATGGTCCCTATAATTTTTTCTAAAATACAAAATGCTCCACTTTCAACCCACTTTTTTTATTATTTCCAAAATTGCTCCTCCGTATAAAGATAGCATCCTCAATATGAATTTTACTTTTTTTTTTACTTTTAGTTTTTTGTTTATAGGGCATTACCTCAAGCTTTAGGGCAGTGCCCTACAAACATAAAACCTAAAAAAAAATAAAAATTAAAATTTAGTGCAAGAATGTCCAGGGATCGAAAGGTAATTTTGAAAAAAAAAAAGCAAATTGATCGACTTTCTTTGTAATTTCTACCTATAAATAAAGCATTTCGGTCGATATGTAAATTGCTCTTTCTTTTAAGAGAATTTGAAAATCAAACTAGTGCTCGTCTTTAATTTGAGTAATGGTTTTCTCCCTATAAACGAAGCATTTCGGTCGATACGTAAACTGCTCTTTCTTTTAAGAGAATTCGAAAATCAAACTAGTGCTCGTCTTTCATTTGAGTAATGGTTTTCTCCCCAGGTGAGAAAGAAATGCATCCTGGAGCTATTCAGCACAAAGAGGGTGCAATCCTTCAGATCCATGAGAGAACAAGAAGCAGCACATTTGGTGAGCTCAATACGTTCATCATGCAGGGTGGGCGAAGTCGACCTCACCAAACTTGTAGGCCCTTTCGCTAATGGCTTAATGTGCCGTGTTGCATTAGGGAAGAACTACTGCGCAGGTGGGGAGTATGAGAGGGAGTTCAAGCGGATGTTAGAAGAGTACCAAGTATTGTTAGGAGGTTTTAGTTTGGGAGATTTTTTCCCCTATTTAGAAGGATGGTTGAATTTGATCACCGGAATGGCATCGAGGATGAAGAAGACTTTCGAGGATTTTGATCAATTTTTTGATCAAGTGATCGAGGATCACCGCAGGAAGGTTCCTGGTGGTGAGAACGATGTGAAGGATCATTTTATCTCAGGTACGAAGAGTTCACAACAACCTTTATTAATATGTGAAATCTAACCGTCTTGAATGCATAATAAAGTTCAAAAAACTTTCTTTGTGCATAGCGAGCCTGATTAATAGAACACCTCTAGCCATCCAACTTCACATTTAGCTGCTGGAAATCATTATAACCTCATATTACAAAAGTTAAATGTTGTCCTTTTGTACTGCTCATTGCTTTAATTGAGTGATATGTTCCTTAGAAATCAATTGCAATTAAGCCTCTTAGCAACCATTCAAGTACTGCAGTGGTAGTGAGAGAGAGCAGACTTACCAAAGGGTCACATTCCATAACATCACTCTTTGCATTCCTCTAAGACGTTGCTCCACTAAATCAATATGATATAGAGTCTCCGCACTCAATCTTGATCATTGTGGACTTTCCCAAGATTCAATCTATATTTGCAGTCCTCATGTACTCCGAAGACAAGTTCACCAAACCCCACTTTTCCCTTTTTTTTTTTTTTCTTGACGTCATTTAATCTTTGATTTCTTTGATGGAACACTGGAGTGCATAAAACATTGTTTGAATTTTATAATTTAATAAAAAAGGGAATCATGATAAAATTTTTAGGGTGAGTATGATTTATTAGGTTGCACCAGCAAACAAAATAAAAAAGTTTTAAAAACTAAAAATAAGAAAAATACCCCTAAATACTTCAAAGGTATATTGTTATTTATTTTTGTCAATTGTTTATATTTTTTAGAGCGATTTACGTATGGGCTTTAAATTTTTTTCTAAAATAAAAATGCTCCCGTAAGTGGAAATTACAAAAGTCTTTCAACTTTTTTCTTTTTTTTTTTTTTTTTTTTCAAAATTGCCCCTTGGCAACTTTTTCTTGAACCGAATTTTAATTTTTTTAAAATTTTTTTTCGTTA